TAGAATACCTAAATATACATTAAAATAAATATAGTAAAATAAAGTAAAATAAATACTTAAATATACATGTAAAATAATGTATATTTTACACTTTAGAGTGATAGAATTTATAGTCTATTAAAAGCACCTCATATTAGGTTTCTATTTTCATCTTAAGATATTAATTGTCTACCGACCCCAGTTTATTTAGAAAAGCATCATTTTAACATTTTGTCAGCTTCTAAAATACATTTCTGTATATAATCCCTCTTTTTTTTTTCTTGTAATCTTTTCTACATATCAGTTCAATTTAAAATTTCTGTTCTCAGAAAGGTGCTAGTAAGCTTGACATAATTTTCTCTCCAAGGATAATCTACCTCATAAAAACTGTAACCGCAGGTATTTGCATAATTAGGTAAAGTGACTGTAGCAGTGGGCTAAGATAAAAGTCTGGGCAGGGAACTGTGGCACCCTGCAGCAACTAGTCAGGGCTACCTGGGGCTACTGGAGAGTTATCAGGAAGAGGTAGCACTGTAGCACTGTCCTCCCATTGTTCATCGATTTGCTCGAGCCAGCACCAGTAATGTTTCCTCCATTGTAAGACTTGTTGTTACTCTTTTTGGCATATCAAAGATGACAACGGAGGTTACCAGGCTCTGCCGTGCGGGCAAAATATTCTCAGTAGCTTGCCAGGCTCTCCGAGAGGAATCGAACCTAGGTCGGCCGCATGCAAGGCAAACACCCTACCTGCTGTGCTATCGCTTAGGTAAAATGATAGGAATGTCTTGGGCATCTAGTGGTGGCAGGGTGCAGTTACTGTGCATCAAAATCATAGATATTAACACTATTATATTCATATTATCTAAAGGTGTCTTCTATCCTTGATCCACATCAGCAGAATTTCCTTTTGGTTCATCATAATTTCCTCCCAATTATTCAGTGACTAAAGAGCAGTAGGAATCACATTAGCTAAAAAATGTCATTTAAATTTGAGTGGGTGGGCCACACCCAACTGCTCAGAGCTTACTTTTGGCTCCATGCTCAGGGATCACTTCTGGTGGTGTTCTGGGATCATATACAGTGTAGGCATCAAATCAGGTCAAACTGTGGTTGGTCACATGCACAGTTAAGTACCTTACTCCTATACCATCTTCCAGTTCCTAAGAATTGTAATGTTGTTAACACTAGGTTTAACAAATAAAATACTATCTACATTGATTTTTGTTTCTACCATAACCTCAAAGTATTTTTGTTTCTACCAGTCCTCAAAGTATTTTTTTCCTATATTAGGCTGGAGCAATAATACAGCAAGCAAAGCATTTGCCTTGTATGTCTCTAACCTGAGTTCAATCCCTGGCACCCCAGATGATATTCTAGAGTTCCTCCCAGAGTGATTCCTGAGTACAGAGTCAGGAATAAGCCCTAAGTGCTCCCAAGTGTGGTACCTAGTCCACCCTCAAAATATATATGCACATATATACACTAATATACACATATTTATACATGTATATACATATGTAATATGTATCCTTTTATTCCTGATCTCTAGGTAGAAGAACATAGACCTAAACTATTGCACAGGGGTTGCTCCTGGTTCATGCACTCAGGAATTACTCCTGGCAGTGTTCGGGGGATCATACAGGATGCTGGGAATCAAACCCAGGTTAGCTTTGTGTAAGACAAACCCCCTACCTGCTGTACTATCGCTCCAGCCCCAAGAAGAACTTTCTTATGGATCTCATGAATTGTGTACAAATCACTAAACTTAGTGATCACTGACTTATAGTCTAATCTATGCTCATTCCAAAACAAAGTGTTCAGCATCAAGTAAAAGAGAATTACAGATCAGGGGACTGGGGTGAAGGGTACTTGCCTGGCATAATGTCTACCAGTGTTTGATTCCAGGCACCACAGAAGGTGTCTGGAGCCCTGCCGAAAATGATTCTTGTGTACAAAGCCAGGTGTAAGTCCTTGGTACTGCTTAATGTGGCCTCAAAATGAAAAAGAACACAATATTTGAATCAGTATGGATCATATGAGGTGCTTTGAGAGGTTTAGAACTGACATGCACCAGGCAAGAGATAAGGTCTAACAAGTTGGTTTTGATTCAGTTGTGCTTCAGAACTGGATTTGCAGGAAATGATTTTGAACTGAGAAAAGAGGGGCCCCTGGTCACTAATAAAGGCTTTAGAACAGAAACTAAAGACACAGTAGAGGATAAGGAAGCAAAGATGTGTAATCACAGGACGGCTAGGGAAAGGCCCACGACTCTCTCTTGTGACCCATATTCAGTGGTCCTCAGGCTTCTCCCCCACCCAGGACAGCCGATGCCATGGACGGACAAAGGAGGAAACAAGGGCCAATTTGACTGGTGATCAGTTGCTATTTATTCCATTCTCCCTACGTGCCTGTTCCAGTCTCACTGACCCCCTCATTCTAGTCTCACACTGCCCCTCATTTCCGTCTCTTTCTATCTCTCCCACTCATCTCTCTGCGTTCCATGTTCCAGTCTCACTAAGCCCCTCTTTTTTGTCTCCTCCTGTGTCTCTGGCTGATCTCTCTGTGCTCCATCTCGCTGCCCTGGTCTCTCTTGTCTCTTACCAACTCCCCGCATTGGGGGTAGCCACCACACCTCTCAAGTAGCAAAATCAGCATATGAAAGCCTTTCTTCCCCTCAAGGGTAAAATACCACTCAGGGATGTTTCTCCTCTCCTTAGTCCAATAACTTAATTAACATCTTAATTAACATTTTAATTACACGTCTTAATATTAGTTATTTTTGTATGGACACAGTAAGAGATACAATAAGCTTGTAGGGTGGCTCTCCTGGGGACATCTCACTATAGATATCACACTACAGTGCTCAGGCTAGATTAATCTTTCCTAACCCTAGCAGGGCCCTAATCTAGATGTTACTTTTTGGATCATGACAGAATTCATCTATGACCATGCTCATAACTTCTTGTTAAGTATTACAGCACTTTGGCCTGGTCCATTTTGATGCCAAGATAGCTAACAGCTTGTCCTGTGTACATTCAGTCCCTCATCGGGACTCTGCTTTTGGGGTGCTAGGAAATAAGGGCAACTGAGGCTTAAATCTCAACTGTAGAACTAACTGGTTTCCTGTCTCTATACAAAAAGGACATTGCTCTGAATTAACTATGCAAAGGACTGAGGGAGAAGAGAAAAGCAATATTTACAACTTTAGAGAGTCTGATTGGGAGAAAAAGGTGACTGACCAGTTGGGGGAACAGAGACAGTTACAAGTAAACACAGAGGAATGGGAGCACTGTGATGGGAGTGACCCAATAAACTAAGTTCCCTGTGGCAAGGCAGAAAAGACAAACCAATGTTATCCTACAAAAAGACATTTGGGGACCTTATAAAAATTTAAAGCAGGTGATCCTAATATGAAGCTCATTCAGGTTCTATTATAAGAGATCACAATGGTAGGCTTATTTCTGCTCCTTCTCTGTGTTTGAATCCATGAGAACAATTATTAATGGATGGCTCCACATAATACTTCTAACCTCCTACAAGTATGAAATTATTTATGTGTCTTAATATTTAAGTTTTTAATGGGAAAGCTATTTACTTTTCATATTGGTCTTTGATAATCTAATATTTATCTTTCAACTTAGTAGCTATCATACTTTTCATAGCTGCAAATAATTGGGCCCTATAATAGTTCTATAAAATTAAAATTTTTCAGACTGACACTAATTTTTTGAGAATCCCAGAAGTGGTGTGTGTTGTAAAAAATGACTAAGCATGTGGTAGTATCAGTTTCATTTACTAAAAGCCCTGCATGAATATGTAAAGTAACAAAACTATTATATGTGAGCACAAAGTAACACAAAATTACAGATGTGAACTAGTCTATTGGATAAGATCAGATACCTAGAACTACAGCAACTATTAAACTAGTTTCTGAAAGAAACAAAAAATATATACTTAATGTAATTATCTAAAGTTTATTAAAATGTAGCAATTGATTCCTGTCTTCATAAAAGAGAAAGAATCATTTGTTACTATTTTGTTGTTTAAATATACAGACCTGCATATACAATTCCTACCATTTATACCCTTTTCATGCACAAAAGAATGAATAAATATCTGAGCAGTGTGGAAAAGCATGCTTTAAATATTTTCCACATACCCAAATCTATGTAGAAAGGGATTTTACTTGTTTTTATTATTGAAACATCCTTAAGTTTCATGCATGTCAGCAATTTTGGTCTTCAGAAACTTTTGGGTTCCCTAACAATTCTGAGTCATTGTCAAGATGTTGTGGCAAGTAGCAGCAGACAAAATAAAAAGAAAAAAAATAGAGAAAGAGAAAGAGAGAGGAAGAGAAAAGAGTAAAGGAAGAAAGGAAGGAAGGAAGAAAGAAAGAAAGAAAGAAAGAAAGAAAGAAAGAAAGAAAGAAAGAAAGAAAGAAAGAAAGAAAGAAGAGAGGGGGAAAGGAAGGAAGGAAGGAAGGAAGGAAGGAAGGAAGGAAGGAAGGAAGGAAGGAAGGAAGGAAGGAAGGAAGGGAGGGAGGGAGGGAGGGAGGGAGGGAGGAAAAGAAAAGAAAAAAGAAATTATGCACTCTTCAGAAATCTTTCAGCAGCAGTCACTAGATTCTCTGGAGAAAAATCTCCTTTTAGCTAGTTCACTTTTGTTCATAGCTCTCTTTTATATTTCATATGATAAACTTTCAGGCACTATACTTTATAGAACATAATATGATTCATATTTGCTAGATAGTGCAATATATCTCCAATAACAATTCATTTCCTAGCAATTTGATTTTGATAATTTTTCTTTTTTTGCATAGGTAGGAAGAGAATAACAACTTTGGATTCATTTTTATGCCTCTGTGTTGTGTTTTAGTTTTGATGTATAATTCATAATTCTAAAAAAAAGAGAGAAAGAAATGGAAACATCACAAAGAAATACATCCTCAGAGAACCTGCCTGAAAAACTCAGGATTTGTAAAGTATTGAATGAAACATCTACAGTTAGTGAAATAGAAGAATATTCTGTTTTAAAAAATGAGTCCCCAAACTGGAACAATGTAGAGAAGATTAGCATGGCCCCCATGTAAGCATGACAGCAAATTTGTGAAGTGTTCCATATTTTAAAAAATGTGTCCAAGCATCATAACACTTTCTGCAGAAGAACATCATTATTCTTCCTCTAAAGCAGGGCAATGACAAGAATCAACAAAGTAGGTTATAGCGAGCAAGTAATAAAACATCCCCCCTTTTCAAGCAGTCCTTGGTAGCAAGGCACATTCATGAATTTGAGCAAACTTGAAAGCCAAGAGTAATGATGCTTTACAGAGGATGCCATATGTAGGAAGAGAGATTCTTGCAGATGCATCCACTCAAATCCATCATGGGAATGATGACAATAGTGTTGGCAGAAATGCATTTCCATAATAGACTAGTTTGTCTCCAAATTCAATACCCATCTTTTAAAGAAAAAGAGGAGTAAAACATTCACAGACCACTTCCTGCCCCAAGGCTGGTGAATTATTTTTGTAATGTGATTTTAGCATATTTTAGTAACTCGTTTTATGATATATTATGCATACTACATCATCATAAATGAAGAGTAAATTTCTGATGCTTCTCAATTTTATACAATGCCATTAACTTCACTTTTACATTAAATTTTGAGGTGATACAATTGAATTTAACTGTGTTAATTTAATGGGATGGATTTTAGTATTTTCTCAGAATCAAATTACTCCTTTCAGTGTGAAATTACCCCTTATACTTATGCTAATACATGGTTCACAGTCTGACATGAGTCTTTATGAGGCATCAACTTTTATATGATTGTGTGATTTTATAACATAATAAGATTTTTATTCACTAATACTGTTTGACTTTCTCATTGTACCAACAGAGCCACCAGCACCAAGTCACATGTGGGTATTCAAGTTGTGAAACAGTATTAAGTTTTAATTTTGTGGCTTCTCTAGATTAACCTTAACACTAGATTGGATTTCCAAATCATAAGAGTTCAAATTCCTCATTGAAAAAGAAAATTGCAGATAATATACAGATAATCTAAGATCATGTTTTCAGAGACCATCTAAGAAACACAGAAGTAAACTGAGAACACAAGATGATTAGAACTCATAAATTGCTATCACCTCTAGGGTGGGCATGAGAAGCCTGAGGAGCTTGGGCAGTTTGTGAAGCAAATGTTTTCTTTGAAATAATATAATGTAATTAATATTAAGTATGATTTAATTCTTATTTTCTTTTCAAAGGATGGCTGAACACTTTATTAATTTCCAGCCAGTAATAACTTACACATAACCCTTGCCCACAAAAAATGAGTTTGTGAGAGACAAAAAACATTTTTTGAACAATTGTCCCAATGAAAATAATAATTCTTGTCAGAAGGACCACAGATCAATGAAAGTATGATGTGGCCCATAACTTTCTTTAAATCTTAGAGCTAACAGGAATTTTGCTGAGTTGAAAACTTTCTAAATTTAAAGATTAATTTTAGACTTTCCTTTCTCCTCTCTCCCAATGCTTCTGTCATTAATGTATCCTTTTCTCTCATCAGTCTATAAATTCTTTGGCCACTGACACCAAAGAAGCTGTTATATTACAGAGAAGGATCTTGGAACTCAGGACTTGGGCTCCTCTGGCTTAGAATAATGAGAAAACACTCAACCTGGAACTGGCTTAAACAGCAATATAGATTCCAACTCAATATCCAGCAACAGCTTGGACCCATTGCTTCTCTGTCTCTGCCTTGGGCTCTCTCTCTTTCTCTCACTCTCTCTCTCTTGTTCTTTCTCTCACTGTCTTCCACATTTTTCAAGTTGGAATAAAATGAACTGTGCCTATAGTACTAGAAGAGTGCAATAAAACCATGATTGTAAATTAATTCACACAGGCTCTAGCAAATGTCAAGTGTGTCAATAAATATTGACTAGTGGTAGAAATATGACCAGCCCTCAATAACACAAGGGGTAAAATTTCTCCCCATCAAAAAAACACATGCAATTCCATGGGCTCAACTTTCAATTTTGGGTATTCTGAGTACTAAGTGGGAGTTACTGTAGTTTATGTTTTTTTCTTTTTCATATTAAGCCTCAATTTTCTCATATAAGTGCTTTATTATTTTTATTCTATTGAGATCAAGCTGGTATGATAAAATAGACAGGTAGTAGAATACAAAATTTCTGCAAAAATCCAATTTTCCCACTACCTCATTCATTAACATGTAGTAAATCACTGTGCCACTTTGGGATTTAGTGCGCTCGCTGTAAAATAAGAGCTATAAGAACCAGATGATTTAAATATGTCTATGGATTCTAAGATTTCTAAAAACCATACTTTCTTGGCTTATTTTTTCCCCTATTTACTTCTGGGTCTATAATTGATAGGCAGAAAATGCTGCTGACTTTGTATTGTTCTTGCCAGAGAATCCTTACTGTGATTTGTTGTTGTAATTTTACAAAAGGTGCTTGCCTCTACTGTGTATTTTAATGTATCTATAATTGGAAAATTTTAATGTATCCTTTTCTATTCTGATATCGTCAGTCTAAGAATAGAGGGAAACGATTCAGTGAGGAAGAAAACTAAATTCCAATCAGTATTTCACTGACTTGAGGGCACCAAGTGCACAGCCTGGCACTTGGTACCTGTTCAGTGGAGAGATACCATTTTCCACTCTTTGTTCTTTATTTCCCCCAATAATTTATGCTGAATTCAAGGAAATATAGATATGTAAGCAAATATCTTTGATAACTTTTATTGGAGCTTTGTTATGTGAGCTTTCTGTTCATCATTTTCAAGATAAAATTTGATGCCTCTTGTCTTCAAGTACATTTTGAACACATCTAAAAATATGGCATATTATTGCTGTTTTATAGAAAGTTTAATCCAAGTAAAGCCTTCGTATTTATGAGCATTATGATTCAATGATATCTCATTTTTTCTAAACGTCTATTAACTTCAAGCTAATGTGCCTCAGAAAACACAGCATTAAAGCATTTTTTGGTAGCTCATCTACATCATTTACAACAGGCCCCTAGTACACCTGAATGTATGTGTTTAATACAATGTTGTCTGATTTCACAGTTAGCATTTTGTTTCAAAGTTTCATTTTGTTTCACAGTCATTAACATATTATTTCTGAAACTATATGAAAGACTTACATTTAGTGTTGGATTCCCCCGACCCTTCCCTTGGTTGTTGACTGCTGGTATCTGCTACCCCAGAGCATTGCATACTTGACTCCTGTGCTCTCCCACTCAGTTGTGGCACTAACCCCGGGTCACTTCTAAGTGTGGTTCTCACATAAGCTTGCTTGCAGCACTCTGGAGATTGGCCATTTCTTGTGGCTCTGTGGATCACCAATAGCAGTGTGACCAGGAGAAAACTCAACATGCTTGAGTTCTGGCTTGAGCATTCAACTTTGTATCTGCAAGGCAAGTGTTTCACCACCAAACTACATATCTAAGCCTATATATTTGAATTTTTTTGAGAAAGAAAACCAGCCTGGATATGTTCCTTAAGAGCATTTTGGAGGTCTAGCATGCAACTCCATTCTAATTATTTTTATAGCAGTTCCCACTCTCTGTAAGTGCTGCTGTGGGTTTCACGCCTTTTCAAAGACCCCAACCAGGACACGTTCATCTTTGCTGGTATTGGTTCTTCTTACATCTTCTTGTTGGTGAATGCTGGTATAAGTATTTCTATGAGTTTTAGTGTACATTTCTATGCTTCAAGGTCATCTTCAAGTCTAGTGCTTTCCATAAAGCTCAAGATAATTGCTTACCTAAGCATTTGTTAAGAACAGAAACACAATAGATAAATTCCATTTTTCACGTAAGTTATTTGCCATTCTGTCTAAGAATTTGTCATCCACTAACACTTTCCCTATAAAAACCAAACTTCCCCTAGATGAATAAAATCCTCCTTATTCTTGAGAATTATATCAAACCATTAAACTAAGCTAAAGAATATTGCTCTGGACCTGAGTTATAGTATAGCAAGTAGGGCTTTTGCCTTGAACATGGCCAACCAAGATTGCTTTCCAACACTGCATATTGTCCTCTGAGCCTGTCAGTAGTGATCCCTGAGAGCAGAGCCATGATCACTGACAGATGTGACCCGAAAGAGAAAAAGAGAAAAAGAGAAAGAAAGAAAAATAGAGAGAAAGGAAGGAGGAAGGAAGGAAGGAAGGGAGGGAGGGAGGGAGGGAGGGAGGGAAGAAGGAAGGAAGGAAGGAAGGAAGGAAGGAAGGAAGGAAGGAAGGAAGGAAGGAAGGAAGGGAGGGAAGAAGAAAGTACTTAATTTATTTGACTACTTTCATTGTAACATAAATCATTGTTGATTGAAACTCATGAACTTCGGTATATTAGAAAATCCTATATTTATACTTGATCAGTTTCCTTTAATATTCATGATATAACTATTCCAAACTCTCAGGACCTATTTCAAGTCCTCTATTCAACTTTCACAGAGTGTGTTCATATACAATATGTATGTACACCTTAATATATGAAATCTGTGACGAAGTTACACCAATGCTATATTATTATAAAGTATTCTATTTTATTTTTTCTAGCATTTTTTCATGATAAAAATTATGGGATGGGGAGATATTACAGCAAGGAAGGTGTTTGCCTTGAACATAAATGAGCTAGGTTCAATCACGATGCATCACATATAGTACTCTATGCCCTTGAACACTGCCATGGGTGGCCCAAAATCTCCATAAAATAATGTAGTATATATGCAGTGTTATGAAGAGTTGAAATCTTGTAGTTAAAGATTTGGAAGGTAATGGAAGATATCATGTTAATTGAAACAAGTCAAGGGTGAAAAATATAAATACGGATGGTCTCAATCTTCTGTGGGACAAATAGAAAAAGAAAGCAAGAAAATAGATAATGTCAAATGATAATAAACCTTTGTAAATGAATTATATAACTGAGAGTTTCAAGTAATGGGGATGGGATAAGGGAGAATGATGAGGTGAATTTTAAGTAAAATGAGGACATTGTCCTTGGGTACTTTGTAGGTCGATTGTGATGGAACAGTGTGCTTTAAAATCATAAACATTAACACTATTATAAACATGTTGCATAAACTATAATTA